CTTCGGGTCATCTATAAGTCTTTCGAGCAAGATGATAAGTCCTTTGGGCCATCTATAAGACCTTCGGGCAGGATGTTTTCAAATGAGTTTTTAGAAGCTAAGCCTGATTTTCAGGGGTTTCTTTATGATATTTTCAAAGAAATTTTAAAGAAAGCTAAGCCTAATTTTTAGGGGTTCATTTATGATGACTAAGAAATTAAGCTTGATTTTCAAGGGTTTCTTGATGTGTAAGTCCTTCGGGCCATCAGTAAGTCTTTTGAGCATGATGTTTAAATCCTTCGGGTCATCAATAAGTCTTTCGAGCAAGATGATAAGTCTTTTGAGCCATCTATAAGACCTTCGGGCAGGATGTTTTCAAATGAGTTTTTAGAAACTAATCCTGATTTTTAGGGGTTTCTTGATGTTTTTAAATTAATTTTTGCAATAAGCTAAGCCTAATTTTAGGGGTTTCTTGATAACTGTAAATGAATCTTTTTGAAGAAGCTAAATTTATCAAAAAATAAAAAAAAATTACTGGGGCAAGATGCGCCCATTCACAAGTCAAGATTCGAAATAATACACTCAGGTGCGGAAGATAAAAAAGTTAATTAAACCAGGAAAAGAGTGAAGATTGATATAGTAATGAAGACTGCTCTTGCAACAATTTCCAACAGATCAAGAAAACCTGCATTCGTACATGAATTTGCATCTTTGCATCATACATTTCATCATTTCATACACATGATAAATTTTGATTTCCCTCTCATGAGGATGCCTGTAAGGTTTATTTTGAAAAATTGTTTGAGTCTTTCTTAGGACCGTTTTTCTGGGATGTTGCACGAGTCTTTCTTAAGATTTTCCCCTAAAAGCATTTTCAATAATGTATTTCTTCAAACTTGACTTTTCTAGGCCGCTTCAATGAGAATGAGCAGTTTCGTTTCCAAGATGGACCCAAAAAAGACAAAAAACTCAACGATTTGCAACATTAAGGAATTCAAAGAGCCAACAAAGATTTCATTTCACGATTTCAACAAAGAATTAGTCCACTTTTCACCATTGAAAGAAATGGTTCTCAACAAAATTAAGGACTATCGGGTCAATACCTTCGGGTACTTTAAATACAAATCACTGACACATGATAATCTTTTACAGGTTTAAAACTCTTCAAAGAGAGGGTAAACACAATCAACATTTCAAATGGTGAGTTCATAATGAGAAGAACTCATCCGATAAGGGAGAAGAAGTTCATAATGAGAAGAACTTGTTCAACCTTATCTCGATTGATCACATATAGAGTTGAATCAGCAACACCTCACTCGAGGGATCAATATTTCAGTGGAGAGTTCATAATGAGAAGAACTCATCCAACGAGGGAGAAGAGGTTCATAATGAGAAGAAATTGTTCAACATTGGTTTGATTCCATCACAGAAGGAGGTGGATCAACATTTTCAATGGAGAGTTCATAATGAGAATAACTCATCAACGAGAGAGAAGAAGTTCATAATGAGAAGAACTTGTTCAGCTTTGACTCAACATTTCCAGTGAAGAGTTCATAATGAAAAGAACTCATCTAACGAGGGAGAAGAAGTTCAAAATGAGAAGAACTTGACTCAACATTTCTAGTGAAGAGTTCATAATGAGAAGAACTCATTCGACGAGGGAGAAGAAGTTCATAATGAGAAGAACTTATTCAACTTTGTTCGATTTCATCACAGAAGAAAGTATATCAACATTTCCAACGGGAGAGTTTATAATGAGAAGAACTCGTCCGAATAGAAAGAAGAAGTTCATAATGAGAAGAACTTGTTCAACTTTGTTCGATTTCATCACAGAAGAAGGTAGATCAACATTTCCAATGGGAGAGTTTATAATGAGAAAAACTCATCTGATGAGGGAGAAGAAGTTCATAATGAGAAAAATTTGTTCAGCCTTGGTGATTCCATCACAGGAGGAAGTGGAGTAACATCCCCAACGAAGGGTTCATAATGAGAAGAATTCGCCCAATTAGAAGAAATTGGAGCTCCAGATGCGAAGCAATCATCGTAGCTAGAAAAAATTAGGCCATTATTTACCTTTGCATCGTCGTTGTTTACTCAACAGATGAGCAAAGAGGGGCAGCTGTAATACCCTAATTTTGTCCTAAAATAAAAAAGAAACAAAATATAGTGACCAACCGTGTAATTTTACCTTTTATATATTTGTGTGGCTTTAAAAGCCAAAAACAAAGCTGTAAATAGCCCCCTCTCCCATATTTTATTTTTTAGAAACATAAAATAAAAGCTCTGCTCTTCACGTTTTTTCCTCTTTTTATGCTTATTTTCTTTATGTTTTATAGCATTAATGTGTTAAATGAGGGAGGGTGTTGGCCTAAGTCGTTGGTCGACGGTTTAAGGTGGTTCAGACGATGAGGTTGAGGTTGAGGTTTCGTACGTCAGTTTAGGGTGTCGGTATGCGTTGGGGGTTGTCTTGGGTCATTTCTTTTCGGATTTGCTTAGATCTAGATTGTTGTTAAACCGACCATCGTTCGGTCGGTTGGGGGAACGGCGGTTAGGACGAAACTAAGGTCTTTTTGACCGGTTACAAAGAGAATGAAAAAATAAGCCTCTTAGGGGTTGTTTTGCCTCGGTTGGGTGGACCCTTCGACCGCTCGTGCGAGGTCTGGTGTGAGGCGAGTGAGTGGGCTGCCATGGCCTGGCAGTTGATGGTGTCGTAGGGCTCCAAACGGGGTTATCGACAATGTTGGTTTTGAAAGGGAGAGCATTTGCGCGTAGAGAAAAAAAAGAAAATAGGTTATGTTTAAACTTTTGGGTAAATCACCTTTAAGCCCCCTGCATTTTAGTCGTTTTGTTATGGTAACTTATTTATTTATTTATTTCGAATATACATACTGATTTTATTTTATTTTAATTTGGTCACTATTATGCTATGTTATTTATTTCAAGCTAACTACTAACTTTTATTTTATTGCACATTAACCACTGACTTTTATTTTATTGCATTCTAACTATTGTTTATTTATTTATTTATTTATTGTTTCTCTTATTACTCGACCTTGTGGTGAACCGATCCGGGTAACACCCACATTATTATGGTTCGGACTCTACTAACCACTAACTTTTTTATTTTATTTTATTTTTATATATTTGTTTGCATTATTCTATTTGACCTTGTGGTGACCCGATCCAGGTAAGACCCACATTATTATGGTTCGAACTTTGCTAACCGCTAACTTGTCTAATTTACTAACATTCTAACTTTTAATTTATTTTTTATACTAACTTTTATTTTTATTGTTCTTACTAACTTACTAACATTTTATTTTCTTGCACAAACTAATCCCCTAACTTTTAAATTTATCAATTTATTTTTGTTTTATATTTTATTTTATTTTCCAGAACTTTAAATTTCAACATTTTATTTTTTCTGTCCATTAATTTTGTTGCATTTTATTTCAGTCTTTTTTTATTTCCAGCATTTTATTTTTTGTATTTACCTTTCACCATATTAACCTATACTTTATTTTATTTTAGTCACTATTTTTTACGATTATTCATTTTAGTCACATTTTAATTTTGAATTTAGCTACCTTTATTTTCTTGCATTTTAATCCATATAATTATATTTTATTACAATTAGGTCCTTATTCTTTTAAGTATTTTAGAACTCGATATTTTAGACTTTGACCCTTTTAATCCCCGAACTTTGATTAGACTTTTAATATTGACATAATTAAATAGGTTAAATAGAGCCTCCATTTTAGCTTAGATTTCAAACTAGTATTTTAATTCAAGGGATAATTCGAGTCGGCCCTCGAGTAAACGCTCGAGGGACCATCTCCATTATTTGATTCAATAATTAATTAAAATTAAATAGGATTAATACTGTAGCCAACATTTTAGATTTGAGCCCCCTAGGTTCCTTGATTCTCATAATTTGTCTCTATAAGTTAGCAAAAAGCCTTAATTTACTTTTAGTATAATTAGGATAAATAAAATTTTTCTTGGTTGCATTGTTTTTATAAATCTAAGGCATTGTTCACTTATTATGGAATTAATAGTATATCTCTCGCGATCATGCTCACTGGGTGACTACTAGTAATTCCCTAAATAAGTCGTCATCCTTTTCAAAACGGCATCATGTTTTCTAAAAACGAGGCAATACTTTGGATATTAGGCACAATAGTTGATATTCTGCATTTACGCTCGGGAGTGAATGTTATCGGTCTTAATAAACGAATACCCTTTTCAACTTTGTATCCTTAATGATTTTTAAATTAAATAAAGATTAAACTCAAAACTTTCGATTTTAAATATAGGGTAATCAACTAGGTACCAATTTTGGGCGCTTGTGGTGGTGCTAATCCTTCCCCACGTGTAACTGACTCCCGAACTTGATTTCTAGATTTTCACAAACCTTAAAACTCGGTATTTTGATAAAAATAAAATGTTTTATTAAAATCACTCGGTTTTTATGGTGTTCTAATCGCACCTTAACTGAAAGATGGCAACTCCTCACATTTCGAAATGATTTTCAAAGAGAAAACCCCCGAGTCGGTATCGTTTTTCCCCGCCAGGGCGAAAAACGATGTCGACAACGTGCAATCTTTTTCCATCTATTTGCAAAAGAACTTTATTGGACCCCAAGCCGGTTTCCTTTTTGGATAAACTAAAGGTTTAATATCTAAATTATTACTTTATTCTTTTCTGGTACTGATTTTGTTTTTAAATTATATATAGGGTTTAGTTTAAGTTTCAATTTGCTACCTAAAGTTGAAAAAATAATAAAATTGATGATGTGATGTTTTTTTCAACGATGTTGTGATATTATCTTATGATTATATGTTAACATCACCTGAAATTTTTAACGAGGAGATACCGAAATGAAACTTAAACTAAGTATTACATATAATTTAAAAAAATAAAGTTTGAATACTAAAACAGAACAAAAACTAATAATTTAGATAATAAATGTGTAATTTTACTGTTTTAATTTTTAATTGAAAGAAAAGGAATGAATGGAAACAGATATGCTCTTCAGCATTTCCCTGTACATTCCTCCAGTTTCCAAAGAATTCTGAAAAATGGGTGAATAATATCTGCCTCTTTCATCTACACTCGGTCTCTTCAATTCCCAAAATCTCTCGCTTTTCTTGTTGATTTGATCCCTCAAATGTGGGTAACCTTTAAACACATAATCTGATGGCTAAAAAAACCCGGTTTTCTCTTTCAATCTTAACCTTGCCGCTGTTTGTTGATGCTGCAAATTCCCTTCTATTTACCCGCAGACAATTCTCTATAACCCTAATTTCTTCTTTGAATCTATCCCTAATCTCTCTTAAATTTCGCAGAAATTTACCAGATTTTGAACAGTTGCTGTGATCATTTGATGAACGTCGGGAAATGAAAAGAGATTTGTCATTTGAAAATGGGATTCTATTGCATTCGTAGCAAAACTGTTTCCATCTCTCTATGTTAAAAGCTCTTCTCTTGCTATTATCTGAAAGACATGCATATGCCTGCAAGTGCAAGTCAAGAAACAGTTCGGGTTGTGACCACTAGGGACTCAAGGTTTTATACCAATTTATAAAATTTTAGGAAATATAAAAAATATATAAATTATATAAGAATTTAAAATTTTTTAAAAGCGGATCATCATGAAAACCACACGATCTATCCCTGATTATGAATCTAATACTTGCAAATAAAGAAAACGATTTTAGTATCTAAGTTGGTTGATATAAGGTGGCATCTATTTGAGCCTTTAGTTTGAGTGGGATATTTAATATTAATATTTTTGTTGCTGAAAATTTTGGATAATTATAAGGTAATTTATATTCATAATTTTTCTTAATTATTGATAAGTCGTACATATTTTTGCAGACATAGCTGTTCGAACCTAATATCGAAGGAGAATAATACTCTCACTAATCATTGAGACCACTAAATTACGATTACAATCACATTTTCGATTACGTTTATTGTGATCGTGATAATGGCAGATGTTTATTACAGATATTACGATTGTGAACTAATGATTTCAGACTATTTTCTTACGCTATATAAAGACCATTATTCCGATAGCGGACTATAATTTAGATCCGTGAATACCAACACTTAAACAAGTATGGATGAGAAGTATGTATAGATATTAAATGCAGAAAATAGTTTAAAAATCCAAACAAATTTTCTATACTTCTACCAAAAGCAATAAATCCAATTTATTCCAACGTCCAACGCAAGGAAAAAACAAAGAAAAGTAAATCTAACCTCTGAAACCAGCTTGAAGGCAATCTCAGCTTCTGGATGCTTATTCTTATCAGGATGAAGTTGCAAAGCTGAAGCACCCGAAATAATTTCAATAATAATAATAAAAAATCAAAACATTTCAATTAACTTTGATTTTCCATGGAATTTTCTTTCAGTTTTTTCCATTTTCTTGCTTACCAAGATTATGGTAACGCCTTTTGATAAGCTGGAAACCTGCATTTTCAGCCACCTGCAAAGGGAAAACGGGAGAAAAAAAACTGAACCAAACGGCATGGAAAATCCGGGAAATATTCTGGGGAATATTAAAACAAACAGCCTGAAAACGGGGGAAAAAACATTGAAAACATACACCCAAAAGGCGATACCAGTCGATGAAATGAGTGTTGTTGTAGTGGTTTTTATGTGGACATGCGATTGTAGTGGTTGACATTTAACAAATTTCAAGGACCAACTCTGACTTTTCACCTTGTGAAATCTCTGAATTCCACCCAATTCTCCCCATTGTGTTTGGATCAAAAAACTGTTCCCTCCAAGGGATTGAATGGGAAAAAATGGGGTTTGGGAAATGCAGAATTGAAGCCTGAAGTGATGGAGTTTGGAGGTGAAAATGGGAAAGAAAATGGTGTAAATGAAAGGTGGAGAGGCTTGATGGAAAGAAAGGTTTTTTACATTTAAAAAACTTCATTCGATTTTTTAAATAATTTATAGTGATTACACGGTAATATATATTTGAAAGATTTAATCATTTTACGATAGACACTCAAATATCTCATACTCAAAATGAGGATCCAATGGGCATACCATAGTAGGAACGAGCAGGAGCCTTGGTTCCTACCAATTAATTTATTAATATTAGTTTAATATTGAAAAATTTAACTTTTTAAAAATAAATAAAATAAGTATTTTTAACCTCTTAATTGAAAAATAATAAGTACTACTTATGTGACCATTAATTCATATATATTATCGGATCTCTCCATTTTATTTTAACTCTCCCTGATAAATTTTTAGTATCAGCCTTACATTTTTAAAGAAAATAACTATCCTTTTAATATTATTAAAAATATATATTTCAGCAATAACTGAGTGACTTTAGTGGTAAACGAATTGTTGTTATTCTTTGAAGCCTCGAGTTCAAGTATTAGGAATGTCAAGGGTGTAAGCGTTCAATATTAAATGTTTAAAATTATTTTTTACCATATACTACTCCCTTATACTCATCTCAAATTAATAAAATAATATATTACATGAAATTGGGGCATTTAGTTGGAGTGCGGGATTTTTTTTTTTTTTGTTTCTTTAAAGAATATATAAGCTATCAAATCCATAACCTACATGATATGTCAAAAATATTAAGGTATAATATAAAATCATCTTCTCATTATATGATGTTATTTTGTTGAGTTTATCGATTATTAAAAGTTATAAAATAATCATGTATGTCATTACTTTGTTGAGTCTTTTAATTATTAAGAATTATAAAATAATCATTCGAGTATTCATATGTTTCAAATTTGTCATTTTTCGTTAAAAAAATTATTGATCACCTGTTAACTTATTGATTAAGATATGGTAAAATATGATTCAAGAATAATTTGAGTTGTATTTTGTGATCGACTATTCGTTTAGATTACGTCATTGAGTCATTGCTCGAAATATTATGTCGTTGATACCAGTATACATCATTGAAATATGACTTTAACATATGCGACCAACATATGCACAAATGGTCATCATTTTTTAATTAAAAAAGACGAGTTTAGAACATATAAATAGTTGAGTGATCATTTTATAAATTCTAATAATAGGGAGATAAAACAAAATAATATCCTAAAATCATATGACTATTTTATATTTTAATAATTAGAATTCTCAGTAAAATAATATTCTAGAGTCGAGACCATATATGTTCTTTACCAAAATTCAATTATTTATGTACTCATGTCGTATTTATATATTTTATTTAATATATTTACGTTTATACAAAATTCAATACATAAATAGCTTGTATTACATAAATTTTAAAATCTAATATTATGTTATTTTTTCATACTTTAAAATTTTTTGTTTTGTATAAAATATCATTGTTTAATATAATCAAAAGGGTAGTTGAATAAAGGGTTTCCGGTTGGCCCCATTGCCATGCTAACCATGGGATCCTTTTAGCCTTTTAGGCCAAAAATTTTAATCTTTATGGCTGCATGTGGAGCCAATTTTCTTCTCTTATCAATCATCAACTTTAAATATATTAATCTTCTAAAATAATTAATCTCTTGATTTTATTTATCCAAAAGTTATCAAGTTTGGATTATGAAAATTGATTTATTTTGTTACAATTTTATTTTACGCTTGAATTTATATGCATTAACCACTTTATTTTTAAAGTAGATTTTTCTATACTTGAATTGAATTTTACACAAGTTTTCTAATAAAAATATTAAATAGTTCTAGCTCAAATCTAAATTATTGATTGATAATTAAAAGATATAACGATAAAATTACACCTAATGTTTGCATAAATGGATATTTTATCTTCTATTATTTTTCTTGAAACATTTTAGCATACATTGTTTAATATTGGTTAAAATAGATCATTTTAGATGAAAAGTGTTAGTTGACTAACAATTAACATATGTTGTTGATATGATATTTTCAAACGCGTTCAATTACTGACGTGATATGTGTCATATTATCATTTCTGGGTGATATGATATTTGTCACATAAACAAGTGAACACATGTGAAAATATCTTATTACAACATGTGTCAATCATTAATCAATTAATGATTTCCACCCAACATAATGTATTTTGAAAAACTAAAATAAAAACAAAGAGATCATTTATATAAATATTAAGAGTAATTTTATCATTAGGCCTAACTAAAAGTACTTTCATTTACATTTAAAATTATATTTTTTATGTAAATCCATAAATTATTCATCCAACTTATATGTAAAGAATATCGATAATCGAATAATTAAACCCTGAAATAATTGATGAGGTAACTAAAATGATTGATAAGATATTAAATTTTCATAAATTCTTGGTGGGTGGATCTAGTGAGAAAGTTGAAATTTAATATGAATTAAACAATGACACATGTCTTTTTATAGCTTTATTAAAAGAACAAGCTACACTTTCTCCTCTAATTCTAACCCTTTTCTTTTTCTCTTTATAATCAATTGTTCCTTTTAAAAAATCGACTCAATATATTCTTTTTATATAGAACTTATATACATTTATTATGTTGTTTATGAAGTTATAATCATGTTGAAGATTTAATTATATAAGAAATTGTGATCGATGTTGAAACATTGTGTATTAATGTTAATTCATATTTTTGTAGTGTCAAATATCCTCTCTCTTTTTCCAGTTTAGTTTGAGATTCACAAATAACTATTGGATAGCATATTTGGCATAATTTTTATTACGGTAAGAAACATATCCATTATTGAATAAAAATATCTATTAATAAAATGGACTTTAATTTAAGAAATTTGTTAAGGTTAACATGTGTGTTTAAAATATTTATTATTTGAGTTAATTACACAAATGATCTTTTATGTTTTTAATGCATTCAATTTTGGTCACCGATTAAAAAAACAAGTTTGATCCCTTACCTTACTGGTCAGTTCAGTTTTAGTCTCTCTTCCGTTAACTTTCGTTAACACATTAAGAAAAGTCTTAATTGACAATTAAAAATAAAAAAATTCACATGTTTTTTACTTCTTCTAATGAGGAATTTGAAGTTCACTGCTCAAAGGTGTTTGATCATTACTTTCACCGGAAAAGTAATGTTAGAACCAAATCATAATAAATATGAAAAACAACCAGGATCTAATTATGTCAAATCATCAAGAATAAAATAAATACTAGATGCGGAAGCGTACCTGAATGAATTGATAGGTTAAAATCCTTTAATCTTTCTTTGATTATGATCTTCCTAGAAGATGGAATTCCCTTGAGTATGAACTCTCTTACAAGGACAAGAGAAAATACGTGATTGTCTATTTCTTAGGGACCATAATCCCTTTATATAGCTTGTTTAAGAATCAATTATTGTTTGTACTTATAAGAATTATAAATGCAACTTTAATAGCATCTACACTTTTATTTTCATGGCACTTCTTATACCTTATGACTTTATAACATAATTGGTCACTAAATTTATGTCATGTTTTATGATAAAAATATGCATTATAAATATGTACCCATAATAATGTATTTTAATCCAACAATCTCCCACTTGGGCAACATATGTTTCCTGATAAATGTATAATCTTATGAGCTCAAAATTTGTTATCATGCAATAGGTATTATATAATAATCTCGTCCACCAACTATATCCGTATAGGATCAAAGTGACCCTTTCCATATCAATCATGACTATACTCATCAACAGTAACGTATACAAACACAATCAAATGACATAGATCAATCATGGAACGTAGCATGGAAATTACATGCAATGTGAACTGCACATGTCTATTTCCAATTGGTCTTCTTTAAACATTAGTGATATCAAATTTTACCAAAATCAGAGTGTGGATAAACCAAAACAAACTTTATTTCTGTAGAAAAAAACTTTAAAATAAATGTCCTTAAACTGAAGTAACTGAAATTGTGTTTATAATAAGCGAGCATTAAAATTACAAACTCCTACTAAAACTAATATCCTTATATGATATTATACCCATATGAGTATTGTGCTCATGAAAGACCTTGGGTAACAGTTCCTTAGTAAGCACACAATTATGAGTTTGTACCAATATGCTCTATAAACACATAACCACTTTGAATTTTCTTTAACAACATAAACTTAATGTCTATGTGCTTAGACTTAAGGTTTTTCTATTATATATGGAACAAAGGACTATAATTTAGTTATCAAAAAATAACTCAAGTAGTCTTTCTTATCAATTCATAATTAGTAGTTTATGTGACAAAATTTTACATCCATATTTCAACAATTCAGAGTCCAAAAACCTGATCTCTAACTTACAAGTCCTCCGTTATGTGAGCATGTGACATTTTTGTTCTTAAATGTATTGTTTGGATCAATTTGATTGCTATCCAATGATCCATATCTAAATTGTTAAAATATCTACTTAATATCCTAAAATCATATGCTATGTTTAAATGTGTATAAACTTGAGTATACATCAAATTCTTTATTTATTTTGAAGCATAAGGAACCTTTTTGTATTTTCTTAGTTTCAAAATAGTCCCTAGGGTGATGATCAAGACTAAACTTGTTTCCTTTAACAATAAGGGGTATTATTTGACTCACTCCTACTGATCTTATAGTATACACAATTGTCAACCAAATTCATCTCAAAACCAAATGAGACAATCACTTGGTAAATTTTTTTATACAATTAACGGGAGTAATACTTGAACTTATAAACATATTTCCTTCATTTGCATATCATTAGTTTTGTATCATTTGGCACAATTTTATAACTGCATCGTATAAAATATTTCATCAATGTTACCATTGAGAAACACAAATTTGAAAACCAACTTATGTAACTCAAAATCAAATATGAGCAACAAGTATCATAATTATCTTGAAAGTGTCTTTCAATGAAACCAAAGAGAGTCTCTAGGAAATTAATGCCTTCTTTCTGAGTATATCTTTTAAATACAAGACACACCTTATACCTATCAACATTACCATTTGCATCCATATTAGTTTTAAATATCCATTTGCAACCAATAACCTTTGCACCCTCAAGTAATGAGATACGTTCTCAAAATTTATTATCTTGTATAGAACTTATACTTCAACGAAAACAAACATACTTCATTTATATAAACTTCTAAGAGTTCAACAGCACATTACAGTAGCAATTTTAACTCTGTTGCACTTTAAAAAAGGGAAAATGATGGTACATTATCTCTTCTTTTTCATGACATGCACATGAATTAATTTAGAAGCCATTTCAAAATTTATTCATACTCTAAGTCAGCAAACTACCAGCAGTGTAAGCAGAGATACAAAACATAACCCTCTAACCTGGAGAAGAAGAAGAAGCGGGAAGAGGAGGAAGTTAAAAGTTTGGGGACTATTTATATATTTTATCCTAAAAATATGACATTTGACATTTTGAATGTGTTAACGACCAAACTTAACGGTCATTAACAATCCGTCACGGTTGGACTCATTTTGAGTCACAAAATGAAACGTTAGGCATTGAATTAATAAAAATAAACGTTAAACACTAAACTAAAAAAATGAACATAGATTGAGCACCTTTTGTATATTTAAGCCTAAAATAATAGCAACAAAATGTCATTCCTCGGATTTTATTTGTGAAGTCTCTATTTTTTTAATCGAAGATTAAAAAATGGTCCGTCGTGGTTGGACCCATTTTAAATCACGAAATGAAACGTTAGGCACTAAATTAATACGAAATAAACATTAAACAATAAACTAAAAAATGAGCATAAATTGAACACATTTTGTATATTTAAGTTTAAAATAATAGCAACAAAATGTCGTTCCTTGATTTTATTTGTGAAGTCTATTTTTTTATATTCGAAGCCCAAAAATTTATAAGCTAGCTCGTGTTTGATTAGCCAAACAAAAACAAATTATGGTTACAATAAGCCAAACGGGTATAAAATTTAGTCTATTGGGGCAACTCAGATTTTAATTTGGGATTTACGGAAAATATTACATTGTAAGGTAAACTCGTCACGCTCATATGACGAATTTATTTAAAAAAATATTTTTTATTAAAACTCATCATATCGACTGACGAGTTTTAAGTCACTGTACCAAATCTCATAGATCCCAAATTAATTTTGAAGATAACCTAATGCTAATCTTTTATCGTCTTGATCTATTGGGTCAATTTCGCCTATTAACAAGTCCCTCAGTTGATCCAAAAGAGGAGAGGCCCAAATAACCCATTAAAATAAAGTAAGCCCATATAAGTAACAACAATTGTGGATAGAGAAGGGAAAGCTCATCTACTTGTTTAGCTTGAGAAATTAGTTTCAGGAATTCTTACCCTTACCATTTTCACGTCATGGACGATCTGGCATTGCATAAATTAGCCATGTCAGGCCCCACTATCGCCTCTATGATCCAACGCCTCTCATCTTCTGCCGCCGACGTCGATGGTCTCCTATTCGGCCACGTCACATACGTCGCCTCTTCCACTCTCCCCGACGATGATTCTGCCCAATCTTCACCCGATTCGCAACTCGTCGCCACCGTCTCCGGCTTCCTCTGCTTCCCTTCTCTTCTCTCCTTCTACGACTCACTCGGCCGAGTTGACTCCTCCCGACTCTCTTCTATCACTCACCTCAACCACGAGCCCCTCATCGGCTGGTTCTCCTCCCGCCGCAAAACTCCCCTCCGCCCTTCCATGCGTGAGTTCTGCGTCACTCGTTCTCTCTCCTCCACCCCCAATCTCTCCCTTCCGATCCAAAACTCCGATCCCGATTCCCTTTTCCCTCCGTCCATTTTCCTCCTCTTCACCACTCCCCTACAAGACCAATTCATTCAAACCCACCAGTATCGGGCCTTACACTTCCAATCGTCCAGAACCTGTTTTAATCCGCTGTCAATCGATGTTGTTAACATTGGACCGGCCTTTAGAGGGCATTACGGGTCGTTTAGCCCCACTTCCGAGCTACCCTTTTTGAGCTGCGAGTTAAGGAGCTCAACACCCATGAATGAAGATAGAAATGAGGAGACTTCAATTGGAATGAAACAAACGGAGAAGGACCAATCCTTGTTGGATACTTGCGCCGAGGGAATGCATGTTGGGAGATTGAGCCGGTTAATCGGACCGGAAGCCACTAACTACTCCGCTGGAATAGAGGATTTATACGAGAAAATGCTTTTGAAGACCGAAAGCTTGGCCAGGCTCGTTGAAGCCAGCTCCGCTAAGGTTCTTGAACAGGTGAGCCTATTATCGTTGTTGTTTTCTTTCTACATGGCAGGCTATATACTTTTGGATAAGCTCATTTCAGGCTAATTTCTAAACAAAAATTTTTCCAGGAAAATCTGAATAGTAAGTTACGGTACAAAGTTGCCAAGTCTGTTGGGGTCGAATAATTGCTTCCTATTTCATGCTAGGTAATTACTTGTATTTTATTTGATTTATTTCTCCCCAAGTGATCCTACTTTATATTACATTTCAGATAATCACTTTATGGCATAACTAATTTAGTTTACGTGCATGGCTTGTTGACTTGTTGCCGATTGAATGACTTGAAGGTGGAACATTTTTCTGTTATGTTCCAAATGAACTTACTAAGGATAGTTAACTAGTTTCTGGCATAACTAAACAAACTAGTTTCTTGTTGTTTCTGGATTAAATGTGCTGACACACCTTGTTTGATTTTGATTCCTGTTTTGTGGACAGTGCTAGATGGTTTCAGGATTTTTACTATTTGGAGAAACTAGTTTCTTCCTTTTGCACCTCATTTTATGTTTTCCTGTTATATTACAATGAAATGCTCTGTAGTTGGCTTTATTAAAATAGAATTTAATACAATAAGGGCATGATTAAGTTTCTCTATATTTAGGTGTTACAATAAGGGCATGATGGAGGTAAGATTGTGGACTAAATGGTCTATAGCTACATGATGTGCTTGGAAGGATTTTGGTAGCTCTTACCAGAAATCAGTTTGTAATGTTCTGTTCTTTAGCATTATGATTCATATTCATCTACTTCCAGGAAAAAAATTATTGTTCTTCCTTTCAATGGTTTAGAAAAATCATGATACGGCGTTGTTCTTATAATGTTTTTGTTTCAATCTGGCTAAGGGGTATATGGATCCTTTTCTTTTTCATGATTAATCAAATTAAATGCTTTTCTGGTACCAAAAGTTTATAGGTAGATATTGGAAAGTTTGTCACTAGCATCTTGGTGTATACTTTCACATTATATGCTGCTGCGGTTTGTATAATGTGACATATGCCATCAGAAGTTGAATGGCTAGATTTTTCTGGGGGAAGAATCACAATAAGAAAGAACCAAAATACAATTGGTATCACTTTATTTTATTTCTTCGGCTTCTGTTGGACTTATTGGCTTCCTTGCTGATTCTTTGAAGACAGAAAATTGTGATGCTGGAGTGGACCGTTGAAAAATTATTCAACTTTGATGTTTCATAAGGTTGTGTTTATTTCATGACAATTGAGCATGTGTTGATGTATTGAACCTGCAGTTACTGCCAGTAAGTCATGAACTGAAGATTTCCTAAGGTGGTCCATCAATCCAAGGGTGGATTTGAAGATTGACTGTTTTTTAATTACCTATGGTGTTGTAAGTTATTATCTTTTTCAGCCTTTGCTCTAAGGGGTTTTTTTTTGGGTACTTTTGGAGACAATAGTATGATAAATGATATAAAAAGGAAATGAGATTCATTTCTGATCATGTATTGTTACTTTGGTAGGCAATTCTCTTCAATTTATCCAGTTTATGGTAATACTATGGATGCTGTTTCTAATATATCATTACCATTTCCACTCCGAGAAGAATAAGCCTGGTAAAGAGAATATATACTGTCAAAGTTCAACTATATGAAAGTATATACATCAACCTGGGCTGTAAACAAATTCACATTGGTGGAATCAATTCAATTCTGACTTGTAACCGGGTGATGCCATCTTCAAATTCTGCAAATCCTTTGTTCATTCTGCATCCAATTAGCCTTAATTAGAAATTAAATCTGAATGCTGCTTTCCACCACCTTCGTATAGCTTGAAAGCTTTGGCCCTGCCTGCTTAGATGCATTCTTCTTAATCTTATCCCTTTCCTCTCTCCGTCTCACAATAAATCATTTTCCATGGCCCACTTTTTGTGCCCAACCTAGCACATTAAACAGTCCACTCATCTGATGAGATTTCAAGTTCATAGGATATTTATTTTTCCTTTCCTAATTAACAGATTAGGTTACCTCCAAAATCCAGCAACCACCCGCAAGGTCATGAAGAGAAATAGGCCAGTCCACATTCCACCAAGACTGAACAAAGAATCAGCCACCACTAGGAATGCACATGAGATCAATCCAATTACCACCTACACAATCACATATGGGAAATATATCAGTTTGTCAAAGATTATTACAGCAAAACTCATACTTAGTCATAGGTTAGCATGAAAGGAAGTTAAAACAACTTATGACACGGCAGCGTATTCGAAGTCTGAAACCCCGTAGTAGAGCCCATCAAGAACAAAAGCCATGGCATTCACTGGCTGAGACCCAGCGACAAACTGCATGCAAAATAGCATCTATGTTAGATAGCCTACCAGTCACAACACTTGATGCATGTGTTGGAAAGCGGATTCGTCTGATGTTAACAACTCGACCGAACTCACTCGAATACAGCCAAAAAAAAACTCAAGCTGCTGTTTCGAGGTGACTAGAGACTTAAATTTCAAAAAAGATTCTGAGAACCAGAACCCGTCTACAAGTTCTTGTAAACATATACAAGGTCACTTACCAAAGTACCCAACCAGGCAATTTGGAGAACAGGTGAATCTGTTGTAAATAAGCCAGAAATTGCTCCAAATCCAATTAATAAGATTACAGCCAAAGAAAATCCCGTTACCAAACCAAACTGTTCAAAACTCAAGGGACAATACAACAAAACTAGCTTAGTTAGATAAAAGGGAAATATCTTATAAAAAAAAAGATGAAAGGGAAATTAATTTCAAAGAAATGGACAGGTAACTTTTACAAACCTTAAGAACACCGTAAATCACTTCGCGAGCTTGTTGATAATTTGCTTGGGAGTAATTAGTGGCAAGAAGAGCCTGTCGCAGAAACCGAAAAGATGATTGATAAGTAGATTTAAAAGGAAAAACAGGTTCCATTTAGCGCTACTTAATATGGTATTTCCATAAATATACATTTGGGCCTTCGTAATGAAAAACACAGGACATGCTACCTGACCAGAGAGTGCTAAAGCATCAGTTAGCAAAGATACTGCCAACCAAACTTGAACGCAAATCTGATGACCAGCCATAGGAATGGGCCCCTGCCTAGCTGCCAGTGATGTTGCAAGTGTCAGAGTTCCAAGGGTTGCTATTGTCCTGCCTATAAGAAGTCCACCTGCAGGTACCGTAACCATTTCCGTACTAAAATTTTATTGTTTCAAAATTGAAGTACTTTAGAGGTTGTCTGTCATTCAGGTTCATTTTATGTGGCTTAACTATAAGAAAAATAGGCAGATGCTCAAAGTAATACTTAAGATCAACAAGAAAATAACAGCTACGGTTTGCCTTCATCTAAGACATTGTATGACTAAGATATTCTAACCTCGAATAGAATGAATGTTGAACAGGTTTCACTATTATATCTTTAGAGTAAAAATTGCTTGAGCTACTAATCTAATCCATCCTAATATGATGATATTGTATAAAATGCATTCCAAAGAAGCACTTTTTTCTCTTGAAACTTTTATGCGGCATTTTTCTTCCATATAAGATAAACCTGGACTATTTACTTTAAAACTGACACACCCAAGTTTTTATATAGGGAGCATCAAACGAAACCGAACATTGCTAAAATTAGCTGGCAAGAAATGCACCAGATTTTACGTAGAGGGGAACTTTTCTCCAGTCAACATTTGGAGAGATCAGTGCAACTTTCCCATTCAACTCCCAGAGAAGAATGATGGCAATCAGATATCTAATTAGAGAAAAAAGGGTTTAGTAGAAGTAAAATATCAACAGAAAATTGAGAATTAATAGAAATGTTATGTGCCAAGTATACTTGAATCACTAAGTTTACCATATTTTTTACGTACTCAGAAATCACAGTAGCAACTGCCGCACCTCTAACACCAAAACCAATGGGAAATATCAAGATTGCATCCAATGTTCCATTTAGTAAGCTGACACTAAGGGTCCTTGCTTTGATTAGCTTCAATTGATCAACATTGTGGTTTGAGATAACTTCATTTATGAGGATCTTCGTATGTGCCCTTTTTGTCCTCTTTACTTCTTGAATTTGAAACCCCAATTTAATTGAAGCACAAGTTATATCTCTTATCAACTTTGGTCTGAAACTTATCTCGTTTGGTCAACCTGGCACTGTTTTTTCATTGATTATCTTCATTCATGTGAGCAGATTTTTCTTCGTCTTGTCCCTCAATGTGGGGAGTGATCATTGGTTACGGTTAAATTCAAAGAAAATTATTTAAGGCTCAAATGAGGATATCGAGGGATATGTTTTTCTTTTTTTTTTTTGGAAAATGGATAGTGAAACAAGGATGTTAATAGAAGATACTAACTTTTTTACCCATTTTTATTTATTATTATTATTATTATTATTATTATAATTATTATTATTATTATTAAAAAAATAATAGTTACAAGCCCAAATCCCAGGCCCAACCAGAACCAGCCCAAACCCAACCCTAAACATTTGTGGTTTCAGCTAGGGTTTCTAAACCCTAGCTCTAGCCGCCGCCTCATCATCTCAGCCGTTGGATCTGAGAGATCCAACGGCCCACACTCCTACAGATGCAAACCCTAGGGTATGATACCCTAGGGCCACGCGGCCGCCGCAGCTGCTCCCACCATCTCCACCGCTGCCACGTCTCGTCGAAGGCTTCCAGAAGAGCCACTCCAGCCGTACACGTCTCCCCCAAACGGTGAGTCACCACTGGAAGTCCGGTGACTCACCGAAGAACTCCTTTTAGACCGGTCCGAAGCCATCACCGATGGTGGCTATAAAAGCTACCGAGCCCCTGCCAAAAAAAAAAGGAGAGGAGAGGAAGAACAACGGCCAGAGAGATACAGAGAACAACCACAACAACCAGTAGACCACAGAAATCAAAAGAAGAGAGAACAGAGAAACTTATCGAGGAAACCATAGTCGTCGGAGCCTCCTCGCGTCATCAGAAAGCCGAAAGTCGAAGGTAAAAAAAATTAGATCTACATGAACCTAAGAGTTTTTAGGGAAAACAAAGACCGGATTCGGTCTTAGGGAGTTTAGATCTATATTTTAGGTAAAGTTGGAAATTTCCGGCCACCGGAGGCGGTGGCCGGCGGTAGGGATTACGGCGGCAGACGGCTGCCGCCCGGTAACCGGCTTCCCTCCGATGAGGGAAGCTAGAGAGAACCGAGAGAGCTTCTTCTTCTCTCATTTTTGAGAGAGAAGAAGAAATGAAGAATGAGGCTGCTGGCCCTTCGAGCCAGCTATGAAGGGTTATATATATCCCTTCCCGAACGACGTCGTTTTGGGAAGGGGTATATGCGTAATTTACATGTATGGTTAAACCTTTTCCGCAGCCCTCCTAACTTGTAACTCTTACATTTTAGTCACTAAATAAAATTCATAATCCTTTTAATTTGGTCTCTAAATTTTATTTATTTATATTTTAGCCCTTAACCGTAATTATAAATATTTTAGATAAAATACGTATTTAGTCCTTTAGTTTTAATAAATAATCTTTTAATCCTGAGTATATATTTTTAATTTATTTTAATCTGATATTCGAATTTTATATAATTTTATTTTAGTCACCAAATTAATAAATAAGGAAAATAGCATGTTTAATCCCTATAATTTTAAATAATTAATTATGAATTAAGTATTTAATTTTAATTTTATTATAATTTAGTCACTAATTTTAAATATTTTCATTTATTTTACTTCTTTTAAATATGTAGTTCTAATTATATTTTTATTGTTTTAATTTTACTTGTTTATATATTTAAATATTATTTTTATTATTATTATATAGTCATATAAATATATGTATATAATAAATAATAATTTATATTTTTTACATAAATTATTTTTATCATATTTTAATGTTTATTTATTTATTTTTAAATATCGAAGAAAAGGGCAGACTTAATACAACTGGATGTCCTATTCTGGTATTTTAAAATTAAATATTATAAAAAAAATTATAATTTAATTTTATTCAAATTATTATATTAATATTTATTAATATCGAAGAAAAGAGCTGTCTTAAGACACCTAGAAGTCCTTTTCTGATATTTCTAAATAAATAAATATTTTATTTATAAATATATATAAATTTTTTCCTTCTCATAATTATAATTTCGAAATAATAGGATTATAAATTAAATATATTTTAAATTTTTAAATTTCTAATAATAGAGACAATTTATAATTAAAAAGTACCAATTTTGGGCGTTGTAGGGGTGTTAATCCTTCCCTAAACGTAACCGACCACGAATTCCTTTTTATTATTAAAAAGAACGAATTTTTGGTTAAAACATAGATCAGTTTATCTTTTAATTGATGTTTTCTTAAAAACTCTTTTAAAAGATATTTTTTTAGGTATTCGACCTACCTGACCCAAAAGGCCGATGGCGACTCCCAAATTATTTTCAAAACCATTTATTCACATCACTTTTCCCGCCAAATAAATATTTCGTGCCCGGACGAAAACCGGTTACAACAGCTTGGCGACTCCGCTGGGGACCATCAAACTTTTAAAATCAATTATAAATTGTCTCTATTAATTATAAATTAAAAATTCATATATTTGATTTATAATTCTTTCTTTTTCAAATTTTTTATATACTTATTATTTTCATAGCATTTATATATTTTCTTATTTATATTTCATTTTATTTACAAGTATTTTATTTCATTATTTATTTTTTCTGTCATAGGTTTGAACATTTCTCCTCACACACAACAATTGCATTGCATAACATAAAGCTCTATAATTGAGTTTGTCCCTTTTAAGTGGGAGTGAAAGCGACGTCTTCGTGAGAATTTATTCTCCGTGTCAGACCTAGCAAGTAACTTTCGGGGTTCATATGCTCTATGTCTTCGTGAGAATTTATTCTCCGTGTCAGGCATAGAGAAATGTGTCCCCTCGAATTGAACTCGATCCGTTTAAAGTCTGTAATGGACTAGGATTGAGGGTTTGATAGCCCAAGGGGGCATCAACAAGGACAGTTCGGGTACCTTTATTCTTAGATCTAATACCCTGCATATAATAAACCCTAGAAACTCTTCCGATCTGAAGCCATGCCGAAATTTTATCCAAAATAGGTATACACACAGGAGAAATGAATTCTAACTTTCCTTTTAATTTATTTATTTATTTTCTTACTGATTAAATTGCATGTGAGTTTAAATTATTTAAATTATGAAGAAAGCATGTTTAAATAAGGATATTTAAGTAGACATTATTACTAAATTATTATTTTTCTTTATTATGTAAACTAATTCATTTCTTTTTGTGTGTTCTTTATTTCTTCTGTTTGCATAGCATCATACAGGATAAAAGGCATTGATCCTCGTGTTAATTGTCTCATTGGAAAGCCTTCATCCATGGATAAAAAGTGTTCAAATCAAATAATTCTAAACTCAGAAGTAAGACAGTGGGCTGAGGACTTACAAAGACAAGGAGGAGACAGTCTGCAAGATGACTTTGTATCGGACTTGGCCAGTTATGCTCCAGTTTCGCTAAAAAGAAATGATATGCAAGATTTGCGAAGCATTTGGGAAAGTTGGGACTCAAATAAAAAGTTGCAGTTTTATCAGACTTACATAGACATCCCATATTTGCTCTATGTTGAAGTTGATGATGACTTACTTCGAGTCCTAATTCAATTCTGGAATCCCGGGTACAATTGCTTCACTCTCAATAAAGAGGACTTGGTCCATACTATTGAAGAATACATAACTTTGTTACATATAAAAGGGGCTTTGGAGAATCGAATTTATTCAAAGTCAATTAAAACTCAACCCTTTCGAGTTAAATTAACAAAGATTGCCGGAGTACGAGAAGAATGGGTGGCATCCCGTACAAAACAAAAAGGCGAAAGCGAAGACATTGCTTGGACTAACATTAAAGAACTTATTCAGAGTCATCCAGACACTAAAGTACGATTCGATTTATTTGCTCTGGGTATGTATGGTGTGGTCATCTTCCCAAAAGTATTGGGATATATTGAAGCTGCAGTAGTAGATTTGTTTGAGCAGCTACCAAAAAAGATTAATCCTGCTTCTGCAATTTTAGCAGAGACTTTCAGATCGTTAAATGCTTGTAGAAAGCTAGGAGGTGGACGATTCTCAGGGTGTACCCAATTGTTATATGTTTGGATCCGTAGCCATTTCTGGAGGACAGAAAAGGTTTCATACAGGCGCTTTAATACGGATTACTCACCATTAAAAGAATTTCTGGAGCAAGAATGGCCGAAAGAAATTAAGAAAGATATGTGATTAATGTTTTTCGAAATCTGCAAAGCAATGACATTGTTTGGCGAGCCCCATGGAAAATCCAAAGAGAATTCTTTTACAAATGTGGTGATTACAATTGGATAATGCTGCTCGGATTATGGGGAGGAATTGGATATGCACCACTTCTGGTCATAAGACAGTATGAAGGTCGTCAATTTGTACCTGTCACTGCTGGATTACATTCATCTAAGTTCGCATTCCACAGCAAAAATTATAAAAGAAATATCATGGAAGCCTTTACAGCCTGGAAAACAACTTTTTGTATCCGAGCTAAAGCAGCAAAAGAAATGCTAACTCCTGATTATGAGGAATGGAGATCTGTCAGGAAAAATGAAAATATTCCTCTACCATATCAAAATGAGGATATCTCTATGGAAGATCGCATTAAGGTGGTTCCATCAGAGATTGAAATCCTGAGAGCTGAGTTTGAAGCAGAAAGAGAAGGCTGGTCAAGAGAATTAGAGCAAATGAGACGAGATAAAGCTATGTTGGGTGTTGACATTGACTTTCATTCATCACAATGTGCAATGTTGAGAGAAAACAAAGAAAAAATTGATGGTGAATTTAGAGCATTAAATAAAAATTACCAGGAGTTATATAAATCCCGGAAAGCATCAGGACCAAGCCAATCAACAGTACAAATGACCAGAGAATTGAACATCGAGAAAAGTCGAGTTGAAGATCTGAAAGGAAAGAATAGCCGTCTACTCAAAAGCCTTGAGAAAGGAAAGCAAAAAATGGAAGATTTTAAAGTTGACAGAAGAGAGCGAATTATAAAACACAAAGCTGAACATCGCGAGATCATGAATGAAATGCAAAGAGAAAGGGATCGAGCCAAAGATTTAGAGGAGATGAAGAATGACATCTTTGATAAATTTAAAGGTGAGAAAAATATCATGTTCAAGGGATTTGAATATGAAATGAACCATCTGATTGCCGAACTTGAAGTCAGGGGCCAAAGGATTGAAGAGTTCAATGTTGAAAAAGAAAAATGGGAGCTGGAAAGAAAGAATTTCAACACCAAACTTGAGGTAGAGCAAGAAGTGGCTAGCAATTGGATGCAAAGATGCAGAAACAAGAATGTTCAAATCCAGAAGCTTAATCAAAGAACGCAAGAAGCACGAACAAAACTTGAAGAAGATCTAGATCAGTCTAGAAACAAAAACTCAGAGTTTAACGCTTACATTTTGCAACTTGAAGAGTCATTATTTCAAGAAAAGGTTCGTCTAGGACCTAATGATCTCAAAGAAAGTAATGAGGAAAGTGCTTTACTACGAAGATGCATTAGAGATCTTGAAAAAACTCTGCACAATTGTCAAGTCAGAATCACTGAGTTAGAGCAAACTCTTGAAGGAACTAATGAACAATGGCAAAAGTCAACTAATTTCTATGTAGAAAGAAGTGAAGAAAGAAGTAATATGGTATTCGAGGCCATGGTACAAATGAGCGAAGTTGCTAGATATGTTGGGGAACTAGCTGT